AGAGTTGTGTTTTTGTGTTGATGGTGGGAAGGAGACATGTTGGTGAGTGTCTGAGAGGAGGAGGGAGTTGGGGCTAGATATGATTAAGATACATTGTATACATGTATAAAATTATCAAAGAATAAATAACAGATTAAAAAATCTAGAGACAGGTGGGGCATGGGATGATACTTATATTCCAGGCACTTGGGAAGTGGAGCCAGGAGGATCAGGAGTACAAGGCCCATATCACAACTACATGCGCAGAACAACCATATCTGATCTGTCACACAAAGCTATTGTGTGTACCTTTCTAGTACCCAGGGCCAGAGATGAGGCAAGGAGAGAGCACCTTTGCACTCCAGGGCCCTTGGCCCTTATTCCCACTAGCTAGCCAAGCTTGTCAGCATTGCCTTACCTTTCCCAGAAGAAACTCCATCTAGGCTTTGGCCCCAGGATTTCTCTTACTGAAGCTACTACCTGGTAGGTGAAAGCTAAAGCATCCCCTGTATAGTCACAGCATGTTCCCTGCAGCTGGAAACGTAACAAAAATCTTCTTTCTTCATGGCATAAGCCCATGTTACCACAGCATCACTCTGTCACCTCTTTAACCTAAATTTTAATAACTGAGTAATAATTGAGACAAGCCTATTTCTCTGTCCCATAAGCTGGCCCGTGACCTTCTCTGCTCAGTGATAAGACAGCAATGTTGTGGGAGCTCCTGAATCTGAGTCTCCAACGGGAGTTGCTGGGGTTAGAGCCTGGCCCACTTGCTCTCATTAGGCCAATTAAAGCAATAAAATAATAGTGAAAAGCAGAAAAAAGAGACTTATTCAATGTGGCCACATTGGAAAGAGAAACAAAGAGATCCAGTGACCTCCCCTTCTCCCCAAATCTAACTTCAGGTTCTGCCATTACTTTTAAGGTTTAAATAGAGGCCAAAGGTATGATAAGGATATCGTCCCTGGCATCCATCATCACCAGGCTCCATCCTGCAAGATGGTCTGACAAGTTGTAAAACTCTTTCTGGGAGACAAGCTTTCCCTCTAACTGGCACCAAGCTCCCAGCCTTTTTTTTTTTTTTTTTTGCCAGCAGGAGATTCTTGAAGGTAATTCCAACTTCTAGAGGTCTGTTATTTCAATAGTCTAAAAGCCAAAAGGAGAGACTCAAGGGTTCCTTCAGAATGTCATCATTCTTGCCAGCTCAGTTGCAAGCCTAAGGAGACCTTTCAGCTTTAGCCTGCTCACTATCCAGACAGCACCTTGTGGGAAGCCAAACCGGGCTGCAAGAGGGACAACAGCACACCCAGGCAACATTCACCAGTGATTTCCAGATAGAAACTGGGCTTCTTTTACTTTCATTACCAGCTGATCCTGTTGAAGCCATCTGATTTCCTATAGTATCACACACTAATAGGTAACTGGTCCACTCCTTATTTTCTGCTTGCTAAAGTTTATAGTGTCTTCGTTCACAGATCCTAAAAGTAGACTCCAAATTAGCTGAGCTCCATTATTTTTTTATCCTGGCTTTAAGTTTCAGGCATGAATATATATACATATATATATATATGTATATATATTAGGTAATGGTCATGCCATATATAAAAACAGAACTTTATTCAATTTGCAGCAAGCCAATGCATTCCCTACAGGACACCAGCCTGCTCTCTGCCAATCAGTCTTGCAAAAGTCAAAACATTATGGTCTGCAACTACTCCAGGAAGACAAATAGCATCTCCCCTAACTGGCTCCCAACAATCAGAACTTGGTTAGTAACTGACTGCTTCCCTATTTGCAGGCCTATCTTCTGGTTTAAGGTCAATCAGGGAATACAAAATATGCTCTCTTACTCAATCACAGGAAAGGCCTGGCCTCCAGCCTTCCCAGTTCATCATCGAGCTTCACAGAGACTTCCCTTTCCCAATGGCACTGTGACTCCTCTACCTTCCTGGGGACCTCAGCTACAGCAGGGACTAAGGGTGATTCTGAATAGGCCTGACCTTTTCTCATTTCCATGGTCTTTATCGCCACACTATCGGTTGTTTTCTTGCAAGGCAAGGTATGCAAGTGTGGTCCTCTGGAATTTATTGAAGTATCCTAGACAATGAAAAGAGTCACTGAAGATCTGCTTAGGTAGAAACACATTCCTTCAATGACGATGGTTCTCAGAAAGGCATTTGCTCTTGCCACCTCTACAGCACTAGTTTCCATTTTGCAGTTTTCTTATATTAAAAAAAAAATAAGATAGAGATTGACTTTCAGATTTTCCGAAGAATCTCTGAGCAATGCCAGTTTCTTTCCCTCTGGGACAATTTTTCCAACACTAACTGCTAACAAGGCTACAAATAAATAGTCCCGTCTCCCCCCTGGGGACCAGTGAAGATGAAGAGGCATGTGGCAGGCTCCACAGCAGCTTTGAGTAACATCCAGTAAAGGCACGCTGTTTACACAGGTTGTTGACAGTCTCTGCAGCTATAAAGATGTCACCTCCCTGCCGTCCAACTATATGTCCTAACTGAAATTTTATGTGCACCACTGTTAATATATTCATTCCCCAAGATGAGATTAGGTAGGACATTTCACTCCGCAATAAGTAAACATAAGCAACACTAACATTCCTCCCCAGATCATTGTGTGACTGAATTACTCACTCTTGAGGTTTGCAGCTTGTACAGTCAGAAAGCCATTCACTAGCTAGATGGAAAATAACACAAGAAGACATCGCACTAGAAAACTGTGGAACATGGGGCTTCCCGAGCACTCTAGAGTAGATTCATTTCTTGACTCAAAATCATTTGGAAAGAAAATACAGTAGTGTTAATATATTTAACCATCAATTCTGAAATCATTGATTTCATTTGCTAAACCTTTTTAGTTTCAGAAAATTGAAAAATTAGCTGTTTCTTTTAAGAAAAGAGTGTTGCAGCTTAATTATATATTTTTGAGTCAAATTCTTTTTTTATTTTTTATTTTTTTGGGGTTTTTTTTGAGACAAGGTCTCACCGTGTAACCCTGGCTGGCCTGGAGTGCACAGAAATCGTCCTCCCTCTGCCTCGCAAGTGCTGGCATTAAAGGCATGCACCACCACATCTGGCCCAAATTCATATATTATTTGGGATTTGTTAATAAGGAATGTATAACAGCACATCTCTTAGGAATTTTCAAAATTGTTTTACTGTTTTTATGACATAAAAAGGTTTATTTAAATACAGTCTATAGAAACTGGGGAGAAGGCTCAGTAGGTAAAGTGCTTGCCTTGCATTCATGAGGAACTGAGTTTGAACCCTTAGAACCTACATTTAAAAACCCATATAGGGTGACAAACATTACCTTATGTGGCTTTTTTATGAGCGATGGGAGGCAGAGATAGGAGAGTCCCCAGAAGTTTGTATACCAGCTAGCCTGGTGTATTTATCAGCCAACAATAAAGAGAGACCCTGCTACAAACTAGGTGGGAGGTGAGGCATCAATGTCCAAAGTTGTCCTTTGACCTGCACAGGAGCTGGGTGGCATGGACCAGACTGCATTCACATACAGGAACACATGTGCCCACACTCAGACTCAAACACCCACACATCGACATGGCATACACACACATACAAGTATAGTCTTTAATCACATTCATGATCATGCAGCAATTATCTTATTTCACTTGACACTTGATATCTCAAAATTAATTTTTAAATAAAAAGGCAAGTTTTGGAGGCTGGAGAGATCGCTCAGTGGTTAGTTGCACTGGTGGCTCTTGTAGAGGACCCAGGTTTGGTTCCACCCTCGATGCACGTGGCAGTTGACAACTGTCAGTAAAACTCCAGTTCCAGGGGATCTGATGCCCTCTTCTGGCCTCCGTGGGCATTGCATGCATGTGGCTCACACAGATACAGGTAAAACACTCAAACACATAAAGTAAAAACAAATAATTAATAAATGATATTTTAAAAAGCAAGTTGTGTTGACATGCCCAAAAGTAGTGTATGATATTTGGTTTGCCAACCACTCATATGTTACAATGTAGCCTAGAATTTAGCTTTATGTTATAGTCTTAAAATAGGCAAAGCTGCATTTAAAAATTTTGCACCTTACAAATAATCTGCACTCTCAGTTGCATTATCAGTATCTTGATTCTATGTGCCAAGTTAAAAAACTTTTTTTTAAATTTTTCATTTATGTATGTATGTATGTGTATGTGTGAATGCAGACCACTCGTGCTACCGTGCACATGTGGAAGTCAGAGGACAACTCTCAGGATTTGGTTCTCTCCTTCCACAGTGTGTTCTGGACCTAAACTCAGGTTGTCAGGGCTGTGTGATTAGCCCTTTTACCTAATGAGCCATTTTGTGGGTCCTAAAGACCAGGTTTTGGCTCTTAGTTTCAAAAGACTTTAAAAATAATTTTGGGGCTGGGATGTAGCTCATTGTTAGAGAGCTTACCTACTACGTAGGGAGACTTGAGGGTTTAATTCCCAACACCTGAAGTCTCTGAGAAACCAAATAATTCTATTTGGGGTTAATTTTTAAAAAACTATTTTAAGATCACTAGACTAATAAGAGGGCTTTTGTTTGCTTATATACTGGGATTAACTCAAGGAGCACACACATGTTCACCAAGTGTTCCGCCCTTGATGCACAAATACCCCAGCCTTTAGTTGGGGGTAATAAGAATTTTATAGGATCTGGTGACTGTATTGAGATAAAGGTACAGAATTATCACTTAACATCAGTGTTCTTTTAGGCATCCTGTTAGTAATATGCTCAAAGTTTAGAAATATTTAAAGCAATTTTCAAACCTTTAAACATAATATTACATTGCCAGGTATCTAAGTGTTTTCGAAATGTGACTTCTCAGAGCCGCTTCCCTGCACTTGGGCCTGGGGACAGCAGAGTCACCACATGGGCCCAGCCAGAAACCTTCCTTTGGGTGAGTGACGGGCAGCATCTCCGCGGAACCATTGTTCACGCGCCCGCGTTTCCCTGCCGGGACGCTCTGGGAGGGACTTTGGTCCGCCTAGCACAGAAGCCACTACAGCGGCAGGGCTTAGGATCCGCCATGAAGTTTCGGGCCAAGATCGTGGACGCGGCTTGTCTGAATCACTTCACACGTGAGCAGGCAGGCCTGCGGGGAGCGCGGGGAAGAACGGAGAGTGCGGCTGAAGCCCCGCGGGAGGACGGGAGGGTCGAGCATTCAGGTGGGGCCTGCTGGGTGCGGGCGGAAGGCGGGCACTGGACACGGAGGCCTTGTAGGGATGCTGCGCTTGGCAGTCAGACCCCCTTCCTCTTCCACCCGGACTGTGCCTTACCTCGCTTTGAGTTCCGTCTGCGAGTTTATCTGGAAGGTCTCTCGGGGCCAGTTCTCAGATATTCAGTTTCCTTATTGAACACAATGGTGGTATGTGCCTGGTGCTCCGCAGGATTTGGGGGAGACTGGCAGGACGTCAGCACTGTTGGAAGTTCTTGTGTGATCCCAGTATGCACCTTGAGGAACTGGTTCCGCAGGATAACCTTTAGGGTACACGATGTACGTCTTAGTAACTCTACTTTACTCCTTGCTATAGGAGTCAGTAACATGATAGCCAAGCTTGCCAAAACCTGCAGCCTCCGGATCAGCCCTGATAAGCTGAACTTCATCCTTTCTGACAAGCTGGCCAGTGGAGGGGTGAGCATGTGGTGCGAGCTGGAACAGGTGAGCAGAAACTCCAGACACCCCAGACTCCAGCCAGTGTTACTGGAAAGGCCACAAATGCCTGTTTGTGTCCCACAGGAGAACTTCTTCAGTGAATTTCAGATGGAAGGTGTCTCAGCAGAAAACAATGAGATTTATTTAGAACTAACATCGGAAAACTTGTCTAGAGCCTTGAAAACTGCCCAGAATGCCAGAGCTCTGAAAATCAAGTTGACTAACAAACACTTCCCCTGTCTCACTGTGTCTGTAGAGCTGGTAAGTAGGAGGCAGAGGCTTCTTAGTTTTTACAAGGGCCTTGGCCTACGAAGCATGTAAATAGTTTTAAGTCTGGGCTTTTAAACAATATTCTTGAAAGCTGATTGGTTTTATTTGAACATAAGCCCTATTGCATGGTGGTGGTGTTTTTTGTTTTTGTTTTTCTTCTATGAGAGCCACACCTTGTCCCTGTAATTTTAAAATGATATTGCAATCCCACAGTGTTCAACTAGGATGCTGCTTTTCCCAAACACGAAAACTGCCAGCATCTCTGATTCCTTTAGGGTGTTGTCGCTTAGTCTAGATGTCATTGGGTTTTGTTGTTGTTGTTGTTTGAATATTTTATTTTATTTTTATTTTATGTGTATGTGCGTATTGCCTGCATGTAGGTAAGTGCACCTGTGTCATGCAATGCCTGCAGAGGACAGAAGAAGCTATCGGATCTCCTGGAACTGGAGTTACGGACAGTTGTTAGCTGCCATGTGGGTGCTGGGATTCGAACCCGGGTCTTCTGCAAGAACAACCAGTGTTCTTAACCACTGAGCCATCTCTCCAGCCCTAGATGTCATTGTTTTTAATCCATTTTCACCTTTAACATTTCGTCCCTCCTATCTCATCTCCTGTAATGCCCTTAAATAATCATCATACTTCAGTAACATATTTATTTGTCTTAGATGGTTGTATAATCAGACAGGTTGCATGCACAGCTCTTCTCAGAACACAAACATACATACAAAGATGAAATTCTGAGTGGTTCTTTGAATATATGCATTCTTTTCCAACTCTCAGACTGGTGACATTGGGCTTTCCACATGGAATCAATCTCTCTCTCTCTCTCTCTCTGTCACTGTCTCTCTCTCTTTTCCCTCCCCCCAAAGCTTTCTCTTCTTTAAATGCTTTCCCCCTCCCACTTTCCCTTGCTGTGCTCCTTCCTTGTATATTGTATGCTCTTTGCATATGTGTGGTTGTGCATATCTGTGGAATATTTGATTTCAAGCTTGCTTGTGGAAGAAAATTTCATAACTTTTCTTCATAAGTTTTTCATCTCTTTACATTATCTCAGAGCTAATCAGAACATTCCATGTAGCACTGTAAGTTTAGAAGTCCTTTAATTTCTTAAGGAAGAGCAAAATAGTAACATACAATACTTTTCTATATAAGTAAGAATACAGGATACTTTGGTTTCTGAGTCTTATAGAAGCTTCTAGAAGTAGATAAGTGTAGGCCATCCTTTTAGTATTGCAGAAGTGGATGCATGCTGAGCGTATGGTGTACAAGAATGGTCTCTGGGTAGGCTTGCTGCAGCAGGTTGCTTTCTGCAACCCTGTCCCGTGTTGTCATTCCCCTTTACCCCCTTCATCTTCCTAGGGTCTGTCTGCCTCTCTAGTTTTGATGTCATCTGAAACAGCACCCCAGAGTTCTCCTTTGCCCTCCCAAACCAGCCACTCTCCCTTGCTCAGCCTGGTCAGGGCTGTAATGAGTGTCTGCTACAATGTGTTGGTCTGCTTTCCTCTTGATCCATTTGTTCCCCTGGAACATCTGGGACCTTGTCTCATTCACCACACTTCTGAGCTCTTCATAGGACCCAGAGAACAAGCACACCATGCCATCAATATTGGTTGAATGGATAAGGAATATTCCACTTGGAATTAAAAGTTTTTAGCATCAGTTCATAGGTTTTGGTTTTGCTTTTAAGATTGACAACATAAAACCTTTTAACTCTTTTCTTAGCAGTTCTCTTCGTCAAGTAGTAGTCGCATTGTGACACATGATATCCCCATAAAAGTTATCAGTAATAGTGTGTAGAAAAGCAAATAAACTGTTTTGTATATTTAGCTTTGCCTGTGCTTTCAACTATGTATGTTTGTCAAGGTACAGTGACCACAGTTCAAGACTGAAAGACTTAGGGACCCTGAGGGATAGGTGCAGGAGAAATCAGGACACAGGGAATGCAGAGTTTTATGTACCAGTGCATGTTTATTGTGAACTAAAGCAAGCTTATATAGGAATCAGATCTGGAGTAACCAAGGAATAACTACGGATACATCACTAAACAGAACGTAACCAAGGAATAACCAAGGATACATTATGTTACCACCAAGAATTCATTACTTCACCAACAGAAACTCACACAACGTTTACAGTATCCAAGATTCAGCTACATAATATTTATAATATCTTAGATATAAGGGGTACTGTTTGTGATTACTCTTAGCAACTACTATAATTCATTATTTTATATAGAAACCACGCTAAGGGCGTTGAGAAACTCCGGTGCCCATAACCTGAAACAGAACTCTTTAGTTATGTTTCCAAGACTGCCAATTAATCAGGGAAGCACAGCCTGTCAACTCAGACCACAGAAGCAGAGAGCAGGGAAACTCCCAGGGTGGAAGCATTCTTTCTCCAATGCTTAAGTCAAGGCAAGCTGCCACAACCTAATGCAGCAATGGCTGTGCCCATAATAATAGCCATACTGCACACACAGGAGAGAATGCCTTGCTCACTAGCTGCTCTTAGATAAAACAAAACAAAAGTTATACTTTTGAAGATAGTCTGTATTTATTATGATGCTTGTCCTTAGGCATAAATTTGGGTTTCTAGGACTTGACAGAGCCAGAAGAAGAATTTTCTTGATCTAGAGCTTGGGTTAACAGTTCTCCTGATAGGAACTTCAGAGCCATTGAAAATAAAGATGATGCCATGCATCGGGGCGCATACCTTTAATCTTAGCACTCTGGAGGCAGAGGCAGGCACATCTCTGTGAGATCGAGGCCAGTTGGCCTGCAAGACCCTGCCTCAAAAAGACTCCCCCCCCCCGAAAAAAAGAAAAAAAGAATGTGATGCCAGAGGGTCCTTTGTCTCTTGCATATTTGGGAAAAAAATCACAAACATAGACTGAATGGAATGTTTACTTAACCTTTGAAGGTGTCTTTATTGGCTTAGAAAAAAACCTCAGCATTTTATAGAGTGCTGTTGGTAACACAAGCTCAGATGAGTTGCAGTAACTGCTGGATGTTTTCCTGCACAGAGTACAGAAAAGGCCCCTGAGTCCTGGGTAAGATTCCTCAGAGTAAGTGTTCTTGCTCAGTACGAGTTTTATTCCCTTTGGACCTGTATATAGGTATCTCAGCTGAGGTGCTGTGTTCCTGCTTGAACCAGAGGCATGCCCTCAGGGATGTAGTCTCCCTGGTAACCAAAGGCATGCCCTCAGGGATGGATCACTATGGTAATCAGAGGCAGGCATTCAGTTCTTTATTTGCTTGAATAACTGAGTTAGCAAAATTTTCCAGTGTTTAAACGAACTTCATTTAGAGAAGTATAACACATGATTCTAGACTTCTTAAACATGAATATCATTCACAGTTGGTTGTTGAATTACTAGGTATATTGGTATTTCTGATGCATGTGATTTCTCTTACTGGTTTTTAGGTTAGTATTTATTTGCCAGCCTTGAAGACTATGAAGAGTGTTGTGGAGAAAATGAAAAACATCAGCAATCACCTTGTAAGTTACAGCTTCTTCAGCCAAGAACTGTGAATGGGGAGTGACCTGTCCTGGGAGGTGGCTTCACTGTAAACCAGGTGTGAATGCTCCCATGCCACCACAAGGTGGCCCAGGTAGTTGGTGTTTCCTCTCTGAGGAGGAGCTGGAGGACAAAGCTGGTGTTGAGAACAGGTAGATTTATAGTTGTCTTTAGAAAGGAACCTGTTCTAGTGCCTCTAACTTTTGTTCACTCGGGAAAGCTTTTAAATTTGCTTTTAATCTCTCATGTTTATAGTATATTCAGAACACGTTCAGTAGTTTTAGTGATTTTCTTATAATTTGGACAGAAGATTGCATCTTTTTCTTGGTTTTGTTCTTTGATGCTGGGGATTAAATCAAGGCTTCATGCATACTAAACACACAGTCAACTGCTGAGCTTTATATATAGCCGCAGTATCTTTTCTGTATTAATGTGTCTGGGGGCATTTTTTATTCACATGGCGATAGACACCTTTATTTTCCTGTATATTTGTGAAGGTCCAAAAATACAACAGTGATAGGGAATTATATGGACTGCCTTCATTCATACCTGGGTGTATCCTGAGTTCTGCCTTTACTCACCCCTCCAAACCACATTTGACTATGCTGCAGAATCTTTTAAAAGGCATTATCCACCTGATACACGAACCTTTGACCTTCCCCTCCTTCGAGGCTACATCTCTGGCACAGGCCCTCCTTGCAGATCCATGCTGGGCCTTCCCTTTCTCCCTTAATACCTTTTAAGTTTTGTTTTATGCTGTTCCACACTCAGTTGATGTGTGTGTCATCAAGATAATGCCCAGCCATTGTCAGTGTTCATCCCAAACTCCCATACTGCCTGTGGGAAGTCTGCACTGAGCTGTTCTCTGGCATGCCTGTAAATCTGCCAGTGCCTCCGGAACTGCCAGCTTCAGGGAAATCCGTCTTAATCTCATGTGTCCCAGCACCTAGGTCAGATTGTCACTCACTAGGCCATAATTAATGCGCTATTGCATGGATTAGGGGTGACATCTAGAACCCAGAACCTGTGTTCCTGGGCTGTTTTTTACCTCTGGAGTTCTGCTCACTTCAGAGCAGTGCTGACATCAGCACAACTCACCTAACCTTCACAGTTCTCAACTGAGTCAAAACTCAGCTTCTCAGGAAGTAATGGGCACTATGCCAACAGTGGTGTTCACATGCCACTGCTGTGGTAGTGATCCAGTTTTCAGACTGGCTTCCTCTAGGGTGTTCTGTGACTTCTAGAAGGTTCAAAGAGGCCCAGGGGAGAACATTGGGCATTAATTGAGGGATCCATTTGTTTGTTCTTTCTGTTCTGTATAAATGAGTCAGGAAAGTAGAGAGACAGAAGGCTGCCTGAGATGAAGGCAGATGTTATTGTTTCTATATTTTCTGGAGTGTTTTTAAAATGCTAAATGGGAAGTTATCAAGTTAGACTAGCCAGATGCATAGTGAGATCTCCTGGGTACTGAGTGGCCAGGCTGCACCTACAGATAACAGCAGTAGAACTGAGGGATATGCATGTAGTCAGCACGCTGAGATTGTCCTCCCCTCAGAGACACTCACCTCCTCTCATTTAATGCAAGCTCAACTGACAGGGTAGGTTGTGTCAGTGATTCTTGCAAAGAAAGGAGTAGGTGACAGGAATCTACCCACTGCTGTGCTTTTGTGCCTGAGGATCCCTGAGATCTGGATAGAATGGAGCTTTGGATCCAGGTCTGGGCTGGGCCTGGACTCTGCATTTCTGACCAGTTTCCAGGAGATGCCAAGGCTGCCTGTCTTCAGTCCATGTCCGGTAGCAATGCTTAGTGATGTGTGCTCTGCTGCAGGTGAGTTCAGGTGTGGTGCTGGAAACAGGACTTTGCAGGATCACCCTAATGATGAACTGAAAGTAGGCTTTAGGGGTGGACAGCATTGTGATATGATGAAAAAGAGGAGGCTTTGAGGGCCGGAGAGATGGCTCAGTGGCTAAGAGCAATGGCTGCTTTTGCAGAGGACCCAGGTTCAATACCCAGCACCCACATAGCAGCTAACAACCATCTGTAACTCCAGTTCCAGGGGATCTGATGCTCTCTTCTGGCCTTCATGGGCATTGCATGCATGTGGTGCACTTACATTCATTTAGTTTAAAAACTAAAAATAGTTTTTAAAAAGAAGTTAGGCTTTGGAGCTTGTCCTAATTTGGTTTTCATTGCTGTGATAAAACACTGACCAAAAACAACACTTAGGCTTACAAGTGACAGTCCATCAGTGAGGGAAGTCGGGGCCGGAACTGAAGTAGAGACAATGGAGAAGCACTGCTTACTGGCTTGCTCCCCTGGCTTGCTCAGCTACCCTCCGTATATAGCCCAGATAGATGCACCTGCCCAGGGATGGCACCATCCACAGTGGGCTGGGCCCTCCTGCATCAATTACCAATTAAGAAAATGCCCCATAGGGGCTGGAGAGATGGCTCAGCAGTTAAGAGTGCTGCTCTTGCAAAGGACCTGGGTTCAGTTCCCAGCACCCACATGGCAGCTAACAACCATCTGTACTCCAGTTGCAGGGGATCTGACACACTCTTCTCACCTCCACTAGTCTTGCATGACATGGGTGCACTTACTCATATGCAGACAATGCAAATAAAATAAAAATAATAAAATTTCTTAAAAAGAAAAGAAAATACCTCACAGACATGCCTACAAGTCAGCCCAACAGAGGAAATTTCTCAACCGAAGCTCCTTCTTCCTAGGCATTTCCAATTTATATCAAGTTGACAAAAACTAACCCACAAGAGCCAGACCTTCAGGTTAAGTGAACTCTTGTTCTGTAGCTCTCACTATCCATAATGGGGACAGTAGCTGTCACAAGCACTTTGTCACTTTGGTAAATTTAGAGGTGATTTATGATAGGTACTTACTAATACTAGCATTCCACAAATGGTGCCTAGTGATTATTAAGGGAATCACTGGAAAAAGTAAGATCCTATCCTGACACTTAGAAAATTGAAGCTAGGCATGTTGCTACATGCCTTTAATCCCAGCACTTGGGAGGCAGAAGCTGGTAGATCTCTGTGAGTTCAAGGCCAGAGACCCTGTCTCAAAAAGACAAAGACCAAAAAAAATAAATAAATAAATTGAATTGAATATGTTAATGTGCATGGTAGTCCAGATAGCTGTGTCATAAAATAGACCTGAGTGACATGCTCAGGGAGTTGGCTGCTGTTAATTCCTTACAAGGTGATGACTGAGCATTGCCCGTACCCAGTACTCTGGATGAGGAATACATTGGAACCTAATGT